CAAGAGGCAGCTGATCGATGTTTCTCTCTCATCGATGTTTCTGGCTCTCTATCTCCCTCCCTTCCTCTCTGTAAAAGTTCAATAAAATATATTTTAAAAAATTTTTTGAAAAAAAAGAAAATTACTTGGGTCGGGGGGGGGGTAAGAGATCAACCGAAGGACTTGTATGCATGCATATAAGCATAACCAATGGACATAAGACACTGCGGGGTAGGGAAGGGCGGGGGAATGTCAAGGGTGGGGGAAGGAGACATATGTAATACTCTTTGTAATACTTTAAGCAATAAAACAAAATTAGAAAGAAAATTAATTAGGCCCTAGCTGGTTTGGCTCAGTGGATAGAAAGTCGGCCTGCGGACTAAAGGATCCCACGTTCAATTTTGGCCAAGGGCACATGCCTGAGTTGCAGACTCAGTCCCCCTCGGTAGAGGGCATGCAGGAGGCAGCCAATCGATGATTCTCTCTCATCATCGAACCTCTCATCAGTCATTCAGTCTCTCTTCCTCTTTGAAATCAATAAAAAATATACATATAAAAAATAAAGATGGTGTATGAAACTACATTTAAAAAAAGATAATTAGAATTCAGAAATAAGCTGAACCGGTTTGGCTCAGTGGATAGAGCATTGGCCTGCAGACTGAAGGGTCCCGGGTTCGATTCCAGTCAAGGGCATGTACCTTGGTTGCGGGCACATCCCAGTGGGGGGCGTGCAGGAGGCAGCTGATCGATGTCTCTCATTGATGTTTCTGGCTCTCTGTCCCTCTCCCTTCTTCTCTGTGGAAAATCAATAAAATATTTAAAAAAGAAAGAATTCAGAAATAAAATAACGAAAATTAACAATTCAATAGATTTTAACAGATTGAACACAACATGAGAAGATTGATGAATTGGAAGATAATCCAATATAAAACATCCTAGCCTGGCTGGTGTGGCTCAGTGGTTGGGCATCAACCTATGAACCAGGTCATGGTTCAATTCCCAGACAGTGCACATGCCTGGGTTGCAGGTTCAATTCCTAGTAGGGGGCGTGCAGGAGACAGCCCATCAATGATTCTCTTCATTGATGTTTCTATCTTCTCTCCCTCTCCCTTCCTCTCTCTGAAATCAACAAAATCATATTTTAAAAAAATCTTAATGTTTTAATATATTCAAAACACCCTGACTTAAACATGTAATCAATATAAACTAATTATATTAAAATTAACCTTATGCTTTTTTTCATGTCAAGTCTTCAGCATCCTGTGTATATTATACCTCTAGATTCTCTTCATTTGGATTCACGTTTCTTTTTTTAATTTATATTTTTATAGAAAGAAGGGAGAGGGAGAAACATTGATGTGAGAAGTATCAATCTGCTGCCATCTGTATTCCCCCTACTGGGTATTGAGCCTGCAATCCAGACATGTGCCCTGACAGGGAATTGAACCTGCCACCACCTGGTGCATGGGTTGACGCTCAGCAACTGAGCCACACTCCGGAGCATGGATTCATCATGTTTCAAGTGCTGGAGCCCCAAGTGGCTCATGGCAACCATACCAGGCAACAACTGGTAAGTTTTTGCTGCCCTGGCCAGTGTGGCTCAGTTGGTTGGAGCATCATCCCATGCACCAAAGGATAACGGGTTCCATTCCCAGTCAGGGTACATACCCAAGTTGCATGTTTGATCCCTGGTTGGGGCGTGTATGGGATGCAATCAATTGATGTTTCTCTCTCTCTCTCTCATATCAATGAAAACATATCCTTGGGTGAGGATTAAAAAAACAAACAAACAATGAAGATAAAATGGCATTTTCACATTAACAAAAATAGTGAGCATTAACTGCCAATAAGAATTCACTAAAAGAAATTCTTCTTTGGGCAGAAGAAACTTTATTCCAGATGGAAATGAAGAAAGGAATAAAGACCAAACACATACTTGTCCTATCATGTCTGTCTAGCTTGTTAAGTTAGCATTATGTTATCAAGGCTCATCCATGTTTTATCAGAATGTCCTTTTTGCTTATTTCCTTTTTGATGATAGCCTTCCTAATGTGTGTGAAGTGGTATCTCTTTGTGGTTCCAATTCATATTTCACTCATAATTGACGATGCCAAGTTACTTTCACGTGCCTATTGGCCATTTGTATATCTTCTTGGGAGAATTATCTATTTCAGTCTTTTGCCACTTTTTAAATTGAGTTGTCTGATTTTTTTGTTGGTCTTGAACTTTCAAAGCACTATATTGTGGTTATTAGTCCCTTATCAGATAGATGGCTTGAAAATATTTTCCCCTATTCTATGGGTTGGTTCTCTTTTCACTGTCTTGATAGTGCTTTGATGCCTAAGTTTTTCATTTTAATGAAGCAGAATTTATTTTTCCTTTTGTTGCCTTGTTTTTGGTGTCATATTTAAGAAACCATTGGGAACAGTGTGTGGAATCGCAGAGGGAAGGCAAGGGGAGGGTGGGTGGGTGGGAGGTGATCAACCAAGACCTTGTATGCATATATGTAACCCATGGACAGAAAATAGGGTGGTGAAGGCCTGGGGCGGGGAGGCAGGCTGCAGGGGGTCAAAGGGGGAAAAGGAATACATATGCAATAGTTTCAATAATAAAGATTTAAAACAAAAAAACATTGGTATATCCAAGGTCAGGAATATTTGTCTGTTTTCTCCTAAGAATTCTATAGTTTTGACTCTTAAATCTAGGTTTTTGATCCATTTTGCCTATGGCTTAAAGGCCCAACTTCACTTTTTGAAATATATTTTTATTGAATTGAAAGGGAGAGGGAGAGAAACATCAATGATGAGAATCATTGATCAGCTGCCTCCTGCACCCCCGCCCCCCTGGGGATCAATCCCACAACGCTGGCATGTGCCCTGACTGGGAATCGAACCATGATTTCCTGGTTCATAGGTCAACGCTCAACCACTGAGCTATGCTGGCCGGGCCCAACTTCATTCTCATACATGCGCATATCCAGTTTTCCAAGCACCAGTTGTTGGAGAGAACTTTCTTTCCCCATTGGGTGGTCTTAAAGCCCTTGAAATCATGTGACCATGGAGGTGAGGGTTTATTTCTGGGCTCTCACTCTCATTCCACTGGTCTGGGGTGGAGGCCTGTCTGTTCATCTTAAGGCTACCACCACATTTTTTATTCTTTGTTGATTTCAGAGAGGGAGAGGGAGAGGTTGAAACATCAACCATGAGAAAGAACCACTGACCGGCTGCCTCTTGCACACTGGGGATTGAGCCTGCAACCCAGGCATGTGCCCCGACCGGGAATTGAACTGTGACCTCCTGTGACCCACTGAGCCACATCAGCCGGGCCTTCTCATGTTATTGGTAGTGTATAAAAATACAACTGATTTGTAAGTTTGTATCCTGCAACTTTGCCGAACTCCTTTGCAGGCTCTAACAGCTGTGTGTACTGTGGGTTCTTCAGGGTTTTACATATAAGACCATGTCTTCTACAGACAGATGCTTTTCCTTTTTCCTTTACAATTTGGAGCCTCTTACTTCTTTCTTGCCTCATTGCTCTGGTTAGAGACCGCAGTGCTATCATGAATAGAAACGTAAAAGTGAGCCTCTGAGTCTTGTTCCTGACCTTCGGGGAAAAGCTTGCATTCTTTCACCTTCGAGCACATTAGCTACAGGCTTTACATAAATGGACTTTATTATGTTGAGGTACTTTCCTTCGATCCTTGGTCTGTTTTTATCATGAAAATATGATTTTATCAAATGCTCTTTTTGCATCAGCTGCGACGGTCATGTTTCCCCTCCACATTCTACTCGGGCAGCATGCTGGGTGGGTCTTCAGAGGCTGGGCCCTTCCTGCATCCCTGGGAGAAAGCCCTTGTGGTCCCAGTGTGTAACCCTCTTACTGCTGCTGAATTCGGGGCTAGCAGTGTGCTGAGGGTTTCTGCCTCAATGTTCACAAGACATGACTCTGCACTTTTCTCTCCCTTGAGTTGTGTGTGGCTTCAGTATCAAGATAACACTGACCTCACAGAATGAGTTAGGAAGTGTTCTCCTGTCATCTCGACATTTATGGAAAAATGTGGGAAAGAGCAGTGTTCCTTCTTTTCTACATGTTTGGTAGTTTCCCAGTGAAGCCACCTGGTCGTTGGCTCTTATTGCTTGAGGTTCTGAGTAGTTTAAACATCACTTCTTGCAGGTCTGCTCATCTTCTATTTGCTCTGGAGTCAGCTTTTGTAGTTTGCTTCTAGGAATTTGTCCATTTCACCTAGATTACCCAATTTGTTGGCATACAAGTATTCATAGTAGTCTTTTTTAACCTTCCTTATTTCTGCAAAGTTTAATAATGTGCTCTTTCACTGGTTTAATAATTTCAGTCTTCTATTCTTCGTCAATTTAGCAACTTCTGCTGTCCTTGATTTTCCCTAGTTTCTTATCCTCAATATCATTTATCCCTGCTTTAATCTTTATTACTTCCTTCCTTCTGCTGGCTCTGGGTTTGGTTTACTCTTCTTTTTTGGAAAGCTGACTTGACCTGCTTTGATGTAGACATTTACAACTGTAACACCCCCGGCACTGGTCTCACTGCGTCCCACACACTTCGGTACACTGCATTCTCATTTCATTCTTCTCAAGGTATTTTCTATTTCCTTTGTGATTTCTTCTCTGATCCACTGGTTGTTTAAAAGTGTTAATTTCCACATATTTTTTACTTTTCCCAGATGCTTATACCCGAAGACTCAGTCATTTCACACTGAAATATATGCCCACCAGCTATGTGAGCAAAACTGCACCAGGAGACAGACACAACGTTCGCTTTGGGCTATTAGCCAAAGCACATGACTGAGCATAAACAGAGGCGTATTCATTAATGAAATACTGCCCAGCAAGGAAGACGAACAACTACACGTGAAGAAATCAAGGCCACCCACCTCCAGAAAACACAAGTGATCCACCTGCTTCACGTTCAGAGGCAGAATGACATTCTACAGTCAGGCGGTGTGTTCTTCCAATTAAACTGCAAGGAGTAATTTCTGTAAAACTCACATTAGCAGTGACTCGAGGGAGAAGGTCGAGGGTACTGGCCAGGGGGTGGGGCTCCAGGTGCTGGCAGTGGTGTTTCTGGATGCAGCTGGTTGTCTCCTGGGCATTTGCTTCATGGTACTTCATTAAGATGCACTTTTGAGATAATTCAATGAGTTGTGTGTGTGTGTTGTACTTCGCAGTATAAACGGTAAATATATATTGGCCCTGAGTTGGTAACAATAAACACCTCCTAAAAGCAAAGACCAACACTTTCCAGAGGAATCCACCTTCAACCCAGGCCTCAAGGACTGGTTACAGGCGCACAGAGGGAGGAAAGCTCATAGAGCGTAAGTAAGTCCTCAGCGATGAGCAAACTGCAGAACTGGACCAGACTCGGATGCTGGACTTGACAGAACACGAAACTGAGACATTTCTAACAAACATCCTATCTAATAAAGAGGGAATATGCTAATTGACTTCCCTGCCCTTAAAGATGGCGGTGCCCACAGCCAATAAGGAGGGAATATGCTAATTGACTGTCACACCTCAAAGATAGGGGCACCCAGTCCCCTTAGCCCTGCCAGGGCGGCCCCCAGGTGGGCCCAGCCACTCTGCGTGCCTGCCTCTTGAGTCCCCCAGTTCCTTCAGGGCCGCCTGAGGCTCAGGTAACCAGTGCCACTGAGGCTTACACTGCCAGCAGTGGCAGCAGCAGAGGTGTGATCAGGCATCACCTTCCCCTGATCACCGGGTTGGCTCCTGCCCCTGATGGCTCCCAGACTGTGAGAGGGGGGAAAAAATATCCTTGGGTGAGGATTAAAAATAAAAAATAAAAGGCATAAGTTAACATTAGTGATAAAAAGATGCTGTAGAGATTAACTCTATTTTATGAAACCTTTTATGCCAAAAACTTGTAAAGAGATGAGATGTAAGAATCCTCTGAAACCTGTAACTTAACAGAACTGATTTTAAAAACTGAACAGTTCTCAAGTATTTTTTAAAAAATCAAATCGGCACACCACACCCACATGGAGGGCAAGTTGCGTGTCTGCACACCCACTGGCCAAACTGCAGCAAGCCTGACCCCATTTCTGGGCCAAAGCGTCGGCTCAACGAGGGTCCAGGGTTAGACTGTGGCTTGAGTCCTGGGGGCTCAGGAGTGGCCTGGCACCTGCTGGCATCAGAGTGTGCAGCCAGATAAGCAACTTCCTCGCACACACAGGTGCGAATCACACACCTTGGGCAAAAGGAGAATTGGTCCCAAAGAGCAAAGGAACGCACAAGAAGCTACCTGGTTCAAATTCCTGGTTTTATTTCCATCTGTAACACCAGCAGAGGTCCGAAACAGACTGACATTATGGGTAAAGTTTAAACGTAACAAAGAAAGATTCGGATTATGTACACTGAGAAGGAGGGGTTTTCATATCGACCTTTTCCTATTTTGTAGTTTCTGAGAGTAGAAACTTAACATCCCCCCCAATTTAATGTAGAAGCACAGCTTTCATGATGAATCGTTTGTCCTAAAATGTAAAGCAGGGCTTGGGCTGCGTGGTCATCCCGGCTCCTGGAGGTTGTAATGTCAGGTCACAGGAGACGCTCCCATGCAGCCCAGAAGAAACGCGATGGCAACCACGTCCGGTCGGAGGGCAGACACGGCACAGCCCCCGTGGGAACCATGTCCTGCCTCCTCACCTCCAAGTAGAACATTATTCCTTTCATTCAAACTAATTGGAAGTGAGCCAAACAGCTACAAAGGCAGAATGAAGAATAAAACTTTCACAGAAGAGGGACACTCCTTCAGCCCCGTTAAAGTGAACTGTGCCAAGTTCCTGCTCCTTCCAGGGAACTGAAGGCCAGTTATTGCTGCAAAGCTAGGGCCTCTCCCCTGGCTGATGCTCCACATGCAGAGGCTGCTGTCTGGCTTGAGGCCTGTGGGGAGGGTGGGGAGGTGGGGCAGGCTGGCACTCCTGTCACCCCTCAGCCCTGTGCGTTAGGAGCAGTGCTGCCACCTGGAAAGCAGAGGCTCCCACGCCTGCAGGGTGGGCAGGGGGTGTTATCTGCCCCTTGGTGAGGAGAGGCCACCGAACTTTGCCAACCAGAACTGCAGAGGGCCAGTCCAGATGGCCAGAGGACCAGCTTCTGAAATGGTGGGTTGGTGGGGTGGTGAGAAGGCCAAGGCAGGACCCAGGTCTTCAGGTGGGCCACGCTCTGAGACACGGGGTGGCTGCGGCTTGGGCAACAGCTGGACATGGGCTGATAAGGCCACAAATATTGCACCGCCTTCCGGTGTCCATACTTGAGGAGACCGTGGGCAGCGGGGACTGAGGACCAGCGGGCATATGGTGACGAGGACGGATTTTATCAGAAAGGAGCGGACAAGTACAGGCCTGCCCTGTGTACCGTGCCTGGCCCGCGCCAGGAGGGGAACTCTGGGGCCTGGTCAGTTCCTGAGAACGGGGTGACAGGACAGGGTGGGGCCTGAGGGACACTCACGGTGCTGCGTCTCCTGGGCTGCAAGGAGGTGGCGGTGGACGGGCTTTATTGCACGTTTCATCCTCAGAGGCCTGGGCATGGCCCTGCAGAAATCCCTGCCTGTCACTGCTAAGGTCGGGAAGGAGCCTAGTGGTTGGTCCTCCGGGGCTGTCGGCTCGGTCACTGTGCGGGCAGAGGCCGGGTGAGGTAGCATGCCCGCAGGAGCTGGGTGGACTGGCTCACGCCCTGACCAGGGCTGGCTCCCCGACAACACTGTGGGGGAAGCTGCGCACACCTCCTGCGTGGGGGAGCTTCTTGGCAAACGTGCAGTCCTGGAGAGGCTGGAACCTGCTTCTCAACTCGAAGGCGCTCAGCTCCTCGCCTGCCCTGGAACAAGGCTGCCAGGGGAGCAGGCCGCACCTGCCGGCAGGGCTGTGGCTCTGGCTGAGGCATCAAGCTGGAAGTAACGAGAGGACCTCAGAGGGCTGGAAATAAGGAGCAGTCTACATATCAGGCCTTGGTTTAAAAGTCTTTTGAGCTCAGGAAATTGGAGGCAGAGAACCCACAAAGGCCGCATGAGCCCGCGGGGATGTCACTGTCCGTCCTTCGAGGCAGCTCGCAGCACATCAGATGTAAATGGGGTGATAGCGTTTGTGGCTCATCTTCTTCCTGCAGGTCGGGCAAGTGTTCGCGTTCTTGAGGGAATCTCGGAGGCACTGGCTGCAGAAGACGTGGCCACACTCTGTAGAGACAATGACACGCCCATTCTGCACAATCTAGAAAACAAAAAGGAACACCTTCACGTGTGTCTGTCCCAGAGCAGCAGCTCCCAGGGAGTCCCACTGCCACCACCTGGGCAGTGATGGGCGAGGGAAGGGCAGGCACAGGGGGCAGGGCAATGGGCTGCAGAACTTTGGACGCCTGGCAGCCAGGCTCCCACCAGCAGTCCAAGGGGGACCCGAGCACTAGAACCCACAGGCCTGGAAAGGTCAGGGTTGCTGTGTGGGCACAGGTGGGGCCGTGCGCAGGCTCAGGGGCCACAGTGAACACGGGGCCTTCTGCCTGGGCCAGGACAGGGAAAACAGACTGTCTCAGCTGCATGGGCGGCGCAGGAACACGGGCCAGAGTGGAAGGCTGTAGGCCCACACACTGGCACATTCTCCCTGCACTCACATGTATGACCAGCCATGTGCCAGTCCAGGCAGGACTGAAGGAAGACTTCAAATCCCACCTAATGGGAGGGTCCTCGCTCATCTCTCACTGAAGTATGGAAGCTGAGCAGGTCACAGCTGGTGTGCTTACCTCTGAGTATCCATCCATGCAGATCGGACAACTGACCGTGCCGGAGGGCCTAGAACACAGTGCCTCATGTCAGTGCCAAGCAAATGCCAACACTGGACTCTTCACGCCAGGGGACGTCCTGTGTGCAGCCTTTCCCTCCAAGAGCCCCCTGACCCTGCCTTAGCGAGGGCTCGGGACTCACAGGAGGGCTGGCCACCCCAAGGGGTTAATGGGGCCACAAAAAAAGGGGAGAGGAGAAGGTGCAGACAACCTGAGTCACCGTGTCCACCCCACACCCCCTCTGCCCCTTCACCCCCTGCCTGGGGTAGGGCCTGCACCTAGCACCCCGGCCTGCTGGTCCCGGCAAGCCCTGGTCATGGTGGGACAGCTGGGCCCTGGTCTCAACAGTGTTACCTGCAGGCAGCCTCCAGGCAGATGTTCAACAGCTCTGCTGGGCCACCAGCTCAGAGCACTGGCTGAAGGCCCAGTGTTTCCAACAATCCTCCCCCCGCCCCCCACACTGGGAAACGGAGGGGGTTAGAATCCCACTCCAGGGCCCAGAGGCTTCCTGGTGTGAGAGCCTGGCCCCAAGATGGCAGCAGCACCGAGCGGGTGGGCATGCAGGTACCTGAGCCCCGGCGATGTCTCTTCCCTGGCGTTTCTGGGAGTGTGCGTGGTCACATACACGTCCCTATCCCTGCTCAGCTCCTCATCATCGCTGCTCACCACACAGCTGTCAGCGTGGTCCTGGCGCTGCCTCCTAGTGTTCCTCCTGGGCCGCCTCCTTTCTAAGACAGGGGCCCCGCACTCAGGATAGGGCCCTCCCGCCCATCGCCCACCTTCTGACCAGGGAAAGGCCAGTCTCAGACCCCAGAGACAATGCTGCCACACCCAGGAGGTCCTGCCCAGGCCGAGGCCACCCCCCGTCTTGCCAGAAGAAGCACATCCCTGCTATGATGGCAAGTGCCGAGTTGTGGGCCTGGCCCAGGCGAACAGCCAATCCGAACGCAGCATCCTTGCGGGTGCTCTCCCACTGGCTGTGTCAGCTGTCCATCCAACCCAACGAAAAAGGAAACCACTCACCATCAACGATCTTTTAAAAAGGAGAGAAAAACGACACAATCAGGTTGACATAAAACATTGTGTTGTCTGAATGCACAAATGATCACTTCGAAGCATTTATTTCAAATGCAAAATCCCCAGGGGACCAGCACCCTGCCCTGGGGTCTGCCCCCCTGCAGCTGCCGCAGGAAATCTGGGGGAGCTGCTGGCCACGTGACCCAGGAAGTGACTTTACCCTGAGCGGTGTTGTGAGGACTAAGGGAGACAAGGCTACGGCTGCTGGGCACCAGGGACATGGAGCCCAGGACCAGCTCCACATGCTCGCCCACGACAACTCTGACTCCACGTGTCCACTGCCAAGGACGGGGACATTACGGATAAGGGTGTGCGGTGCCTAACACCCTGTGAAAAGAATGAACTCCCAGACAAAAGCAAGCAGGCGAGGGGACTGATGCACGTGCACACACCAAGAACCCACTGGACCCAGGGAACGTGACCGAGACCTGGACGAGCCCCTGCCTGAAGGCTCAGCCTGACATCAGACCGTTCTGCACTGACGGTTTCCAGCCAGCTCACAACCCTCAGGGTGGCCAGCCACGAGTCTGCGGGACAACAACAGACCCACTCCCCCAGCGCCACGGGCTGGGCGACTTCCTTCGGGACAGCCCTGTGGCCTCTCCTCACGGACCCTGGCTGGCAGCTCCCACGCAGGGTTCCAGGCTGAGATGCTGGAGTTATTTCTGGAGACCTGCTCCTCCAGCTGTTTCACGTGAAGCGGGTGCTCCCACAAATAAACCCTTTTCTGCTTTGAGACAACAGGAGTGGACTTGGGGTTCTAGACTGACCCCTGACCGGCACAGCCATCTATCCCAGGAAGCAGCAGCATGAAGCCCACATGTGGGGCTATGGAAACCCTCCCCCAGGAGGCTTCAGAGTGACAACCAAACTGGGAGATAGCCCTCACTATGTATGGGGCCACATTTCCCGGGACACAGGGTGGCTGGCAGAGGTACTGTCCACGTGAGTCTAGAAGGGGCCACAGGAGGACCACCGTCGGGGTGAGTGCACGGGGAGGGACAGGACGCCCCGGCTCCCGGCAGTGTGCGGGGAGCTGGTCCCCACAGACCTGGCACACAGCAAGGCCTCCGCGCTTAGCGACCAGAGAGCCTCCCGCTCTGGGTGACGGACTGTCCCCGTTTTCAACAGGAAAACAGTTCAGAGAGGGCAGAAAAGGATGGTACCCCAGCCCGGCCTTGCGGCACCACGCCCTCCCTGCACCCCTGCTACCTCCCTCCTACCTTCTTCCACCCAGCGGCTGCACCACATCCTTCCGGAACCCCGGAGGCGGGACTGCCCGCTCTGGGTGCCCTCCTCTGGGAGCACATGCTTGCAGGGCAGGGGACAGGCCAGGGAAGGGCACGGGCTTCAG